TCCTACCTCTCTAGGGTTTCCTCGTTTGTCCCTGCGAGGTTCTTCGAAACTATCGTGCCTCCCTGGGGACTTCATCATTTGTCCCTGGGGGATTCATAAAAAACTATCCTGCATGCCCGGGGAACTCATCATTTTCCCCCGGGGAATTCATCCAAAATTAGCCTACATGCCCGGGAGCTTCACCGCTTGTTCTTGGGAGATTCATCCTAATCCTACTTTTGTTAAAGGGGGCCCTGACGTATTCACTGGAAACTCCCCAATCTCCTCGAGACACTCATCATGTCCACCTTGGGAGCGTCGGAAAGTGATAAAAACAGGACAAAAGTAAGAAAAACAGAGCAAAAGGCATGCATGACTTACTTGGTACGACGGTTCTAGGAAGGTGACGCGGTGGACGGTACGGCGGAGAACGATGGACGTCGTGGTGCAGAATATGAAGAAGCTGGCGAGAAAAGAAGCGGCGTCGTGAGTGGGAAGAGTGAAAAGTGAGAAATGGGGCATACTCGGTCCTATTTATAAACCTAGCACGTGACTCGAGGAGCCCCTAGGCACTCAAGCACCCTTACCCATAGCCGTCTTGGATAAGTAATCGCTGACTGACATGTGGCAGCACCAGAGGCTCAACAATCTATCCGTCTCCTCGTCAGGCTCTCCAACATGCCTCAGCTCCCGACATGATAAACGACTCCCCGACATGCTACGTCGTCGAACATCCTCTACTCCCGACCTGATACACGACTTCCAATTCTGTGCACCGGGAAAATGCCTTCTCCTGAAGAGGTCCTCAACGTTTCGACCTGCCCTTAAGTCATTACTCCTCCACCTCAGAGCAACGACTTGAGGGCTCCTATTCTGGACTGGGCCAAGACCTGCTCTTCTTCCGGGCAGGCCTAACCCAAGGCTATGCTGATGAGGCTCAACAAGGCTCAATTTTCTCTATCGAGCAGGAGCCTCAGCAAGGCATCTCCGTCGGGCAGAAGACTCTCTTGACGGGGAAGCCCACACGTTTCCTCTACATTCTCCACGTGTCCCCCATGCGGGGACACGCCATCAGGCAACTATCCACTTTCGAAAGAGATGGTCAACCCACCTTCCGAAGATCACAGGGAAGTTGATCCAGGGCGAAGACCATGTGCTAGTCTTCACTACGCCACGTAAGCCTTGGTAGTTACTTGTGTTGGGCTTGGCAATCCGACCCAATGCAATGTAACCATTGGCCCTGCGCTGAGGGCATATTATAAACACCCTCTTTCACTAGAGGGTCAGGTATTCTATTCATCACACATTCTCTATGTACTTGCTCTCTCTAGTTTTGATACTTACTTAAGCATCAGAGCATCTTGCAGGTACACTTTCTTTTCTCCTCCACAACTCCGGTAAAGGCAGCAACTCACGACGTGTGACAGGTCACTGATTCCTTTTTGGTCAGGTAAGATCAAAAAGGCATGTGGCATAAATAATACACATGGTTGATAAGTTATTTTAAAATAGGAAAATTCGATTTCAAAAAATATTAATAAATGGACTAATATGGCACGATTAAATTTTGCAAGGGATTAAATAAAGTCTTTTTTTTTAGAATTAATTTTAGTTCTGTAGTTTTTGCGAGGGATTAAAATGGATCTTCACTCATATTTTAAACTAAATAAATAGTAAAAGATTTTGGACCTCATAATGTGTTATTCTCGAGGTTGAATCTTGTTGGATGCTAGTAATATATGTCTTGGTTAAGGTTTTGCTTTTACTTTAAATGACCTTAGTTAGAAGACAGAGGGATTGATTTATTTGGATTAGTTGGTCTCTTAGTCGGATATTAAGTTTTCAAAGAAGAAAACAAATTTTTAAAATGAGTTTTGAGAAAGTTTGTCTTGTTTTTAAAGTGAATTTCGAGAAAGTTTGTTTTATTTTTAAGGTAGATTTTGAGAAACTGTATGATTCAGTTAGTTTAAGCTTTTTGGCTTATATGTTGTTCATATTTGGTTTTAATGAGAAGTATAGAGCATGGAAGAGAGTTTGTGTGTTCAACGATAAGCTTGCGGTGCTGGTTAATAGATGTCCAACTCAATAGTTTAGCATCCAAATGGGCTTGAAGTACGGGGATCCATTAGATCATTTCCTTTTCTTGCTAGTGGCTGAGGGGCATTGCTAGAACTGAAGAGATTGGTTTTTACTCTATATTTAGGATGGAATCGTCTAATTTGGTGGTATATCATCCTCGGTATACATATTATACACTTCTTGTGATATACCATACTCTTGAAAACTTGTGGAGTATTAAGACAATTGTTAGAGTTTGAACTAGCTTCAGGGTTTCAATTAAAAGTTTTTAAGAGAAGTCTTATATGGGTTGATGTAGTCTCTATCTTGTTAACTTCTTCAGGTGATTTCCTTGACTATGAGATTGAAACTCTTCATTTTAAGTACATTGGTTTGCCGATAGGGGTTAATCCTATGCTGGAATCTACTTGAGACTTTTTAGTCAATTTGGTTGACTAGGAGGCTCCATTCATGGAAACAGAGATATGTTAGTTTTGGAGGTGGGGTGGTTCTTTTTAATTTTGTGTTTGATGTTATTTACATCTTCCTCTTGTTCATTTTGAAGATTCCTGTCAAGGTATGAAAGAATTTCATTAAGTTGCATAGAATGTTCCGATGCAAATGGGTGAAGGGGGAATCTAAGATTTCCTGGATTAAATGGGAGAATGTTTGTAAGCCTATGAGTAAATAAGGTTACTAGTTAGGAACCTTTAGCTAGTAAATCTAGTCATTTTGACTAAGTGGAGATAAAGTTTGTTTGCAAGTGCTTCAGGCATGTGGTATAATATTTTTGTAGCTAGGTATGGTGTTTCACTCTTTTGCTATTTTCGAGGAAGGAGGACATTTGGGTTCCGATCTACTTCATCTCAGTGGAAAGATGTGTCTCTTATTGAGTTAAAAGAGAGAAATCCTTCTGATTGGTTTGTTGACGATATACTTAGGAAACTAGAGTCGAACCTCTAGAATTCCTTCTAAAAATACCCTTGGTTAGGACTCATTCCCCTAAAGTTCAAGTTCTCTAGTCTACTTTATAATTTCATTCAATCAGATGAGTTGGTGGAGGAGATTGGTGGGATGGATAACTGGGATCTGGTTTGGAATCTCAAGTGAATGAGATTCTTCTTTCTTAGAGAGTTACTTGTATTTGAAAATCTTCTCTATGTTATAAGATGTTATTCTCTCTCAAGAGAGAGATTTGTGGATTGAAGGCATATAAGAGAGGGTTTTTTCTCTGTTGCATCTACTTATCATGTTCATTTTGTTGGTTCTTTGTCGTCTCTTATGGCTATGAATTTTACATTTCCCCTTATATGAAATAGTTGGGTTTTTTCTAAAATATTGGTATTCTCTTGACAATTTTTGCAAGATAGGTTCACTTTTAGAGAGAGCTTGTTTAAACAGGGGTGATTACTGATCAAAGTGGGATCTCTTGTCCTTTTTTTTAGGAATTAGGTTGAGTTGGTTTCCCATCTTTTTGTCATTTGTTAGTTAATTTTGTCTCTATGATATAGGATCTTCCAATTGTTAGGTTGGCAGGTGGTTCTTCCTACTGACCATAGACTTCTTTTTTAGTCTTTCCTTTCTTTGGAAGGGTCAAATATAAGGGTGATTTGGTTTTAGTTATGATCTGGTTTGGTTATGTCATCTTAAAAATGTGTTAAAACAAATGTGAAAGAGGTGGAGGGGAGAATGTTTTTTTGCTATGAAAATAGTTTTTAGATCGATTAGAGATGAACTCATGTACTTACTCTAATTAACTCTAAAACCTTATTATCTACCTTAATCAACAGTGAATCGAGTGTTTTTCTTGATTCTAAGGTAGGTTCTAATATGTGGTATTTATAGAATTGCATACATGATTTCTATCTCGTTTTGTTTCATGAATTGATATTTACAGTTTGTTACACTTACCTGAACTCTACTGGTTCAGTTTATATAATCTAGAGGATAGTTATATATTATACTCCTAATAATTCTCAAGACACTTCTTGTACTTTGAAATCATCTCTATTTTTGTAATTTTCCCATTTTTTATTAAATATATTAATTTTTTCATTAAAAAAAACAAATTTTATAGATACGAAAATTGGATTACAAAGCTCAAAGAAAAATAGAATGAAGTTTAATAGATATGTATAACGTTTATATGTTCCAAGAAGTCACGCAATCAAAATGAGATTGCTCACATGTATTTATAATGGTATGATGCTACTTGGAAACTCATCAAAGATTGGATCATTGAAGTCTAAAACTTGCACAATCACACATTTATGTTGCCAAGAGAAAAGAGTCTACAATAGAACATATACGGTAAGATTAGAACTTGAGTAAAACCCATTTTGCATTATTTTATGTTTGTGCAAGTAATGTTCAAAATAAAGTGGAAGAATCAAAACACAAACATGGTATAATTGCTTACATAATAAGTTAAAGCTCAAGATGAAATAAAATAAAATAAAACCAAGGCAACATGGATGGTTATTGTAGTATAACTGAAATTGTCAGTTGCTACTTTCCTTTATGTTGTTAACATGGAAGAGTACTATGAAGTACAGTAATATAACTTCTCTAACGTGATGATAACATGGAAGAGTACTATGGAGTACATTTGGAAAAAATACCATTAATAATGTGTCAGAATCAATTCTTCTATACATGATTAACCTTTGGTAGATAACTAGATATTACCTTCTAGACGAAAAATCTAGATTTTAAAATAGGAGGCTGTGAACCATAAGAACAATACCAAAGAAAACATAAACACTGTCATGCATTAAATTTGTTTGTATACAGGAAAACTAGAGAGTTCAGTTGAACTCATAACAAAATTTAAGGCAGCAAGATAGTAAATGTCATGTCATGCCTAAAGTCTAAACTATGTCACAAGAAACTTCCCCCAAACTTTAAGAGAGAGAAACTATTGCATAAGAGGAGTCATTGGCCTTTCTCTAGCATGTTGTTGACTAAGCAGATACAAGTTCATCAAAATTCCAATCTTGTACTATGTCCCTTCTCACAGCGTGACTTCTTACAAGCCGTGGAGGACCGGTTATCTCCCCGTTACTTGAGAAAGTAGGTTGAGGGGTGACTTTGGAAGATGATGGTGCTACAAAAGAGTGTACTGTAGGTGGGTGAACATGTAATTTCCTTGTTAAGCAGTTTGTAATAGCGTAACATCTTCCTTCATTTTCTGAATTTGAAACCGATCTTCTGAAAGAGTGTGATGGCGATGGATTTTCCACACTATGGCACACAAGACATGCTAGACTCATTGTGGCTCTCAGTCTTCTTCTCCTGCAATTTTTGTAAGAAATTAGATTTCTTCAAAAGGGCACTGCATATGCAAATCTATCTTTTACCACAACTCATCCAGTTCTTATGACCATACTGTGAAATGGATATTATACATCTAATCTAGACAATATTATTTGAGCATATAACCCCAAACATCGTAACTTTATAAGCATAATGAAGTGAGAATCGCAAATGACACATTACAAAAAAAAAAATGGAACCTTATAACCACTACCTATCTATTATTCATTTTAAGCCAGCCACATGTTTCAAACCTAAAACAATATGGACTTAAGAAACCCAACGTAAAGGTATATCAACATTGGTAGCATAGACTCAATATCAGTAGACGGGAGGGGAGATCAGGCCCAAATAGCCAACATTGTAGATGAGATCAAGCATATATGAGCTACGACGATGAGATTAGAGCTCACCATTCAAAGTAGTTACCGATATGCAAGTTGATAAAAAGAATATCTTATCGCAAAATAAAAGTTCAGGTTGGGTGTATAACTGCATTTACTAATATCAAGGGGAAAATCGGTAGGCCTTAACCAGATCAAGCCATAACGGTTCTAAAGTCAGGATAAGAACCTAACGACTGACCAATCAAAAAGCATGGAGCGTAAGACAGCTTGGAGGCTAAAACAACTATAAATATGGGGCACATCCCAGGGTATAATCGCTCATTCTACACTTCACTAAACCTTGCTTTCTACTCCGCCTTACTTTAACCTCGAAGTGTCTTTGCAGGTACCAATCTACACCCCTCACATTGGAGAAGTATCAAGGAGTGTACTAGGAGAGGAGATGCATCACCAGCCCAGGTGATCAATAATGTGTTCCAGGGAAGGAACAACAGGTATATTTTATAGGAAAAGAAGAAGTGAAACAATCTTGCAATGGTTTTCAGTGGTTTAAATAACAGTTTTTCTTTAAAGTTGAAATTGATTTGGATACACTCTAACTTTGCAGAAACCCTATATTTAAGAGCATAGCAACTCTATAAAAAATGGATATAATCAATCATTGATTGAGATAACATCATGCTGTTTTTGCATGACAGAGTCTTTGTAGGACAACTACAAACAACAACAACAACAACAACAACCAAGCCTTACCCCACTAAGTGGGGTCGGCTACATGGATCAATTTTCGCCATAATGTTATATTCAGGACCATTTTTCTATCAAAATAGGTTTGAACAATAAAAGAAGGTAGGAAGAAAAGTGGAAAAAGGCTAACCATTCTCAAAATTCGGTTGATGACCCAAAATTAGATCAGTGAATGAACAAGCATTAGCGTTAGGAGACTTCAAAATAACCCAAACAAAAACAGATTAGAATTCAATAAGAAACACAGTAAACCAAATGCTTCATTCTGTTTAGCCAAGCTTATTTGTCTTGTCAATTACTTCAAAACTAAAAAGGAGCAAAATAAAGCAGTCAATTATATCAATTAATTTTTTTTTTTTGGTTTACTTCGGGGTTCGGTTCTGGCATCAAGTGGTTCCAACCCTATCCCGATCTCAGTTGCGAGGGAATGAACCATTTTCCTCCCTACCAAATTCAGCGCCAATCACGAATGGACCAATTAACGATTTGTTATCAATTAATCTTTATTACTAATTCTTCTGAACTTTTTCTTTACACTGTCAATTATATATAGCCCCACTTAGTATTCATTCAAAAAAAATCCTGACACAAATATTTTCAACCAAAGTGTTACCCAAATATAGAAACATAACCATTAACCCATCATAAGGTTTAAAATCACAGATCTAAAATATAAAAAAACCACAAATCAAGATATCATTCACGGGCATGAGCAATTATGAGATCTAATCTAAACTGAAGCAGGCATAAAAAAGGAATGAAAATGGTCAATGCAAAAAAAAGGGGTTAGAGACCCAAACCTCGTTACTGAAGAGAGCAGAGAAAGTGTGTGGGACAAGATTCGATAGGAGCTTTTACGATGCAAAGTAGTGAGTGTTGTGTGTGTGGGTTCGGAAAAAGCTACTGGGCCACTGATGTTGTTGCTGTTAGGTGTTTTCTGCGAAATTTGCCTTGCTTTCAATTTCGGGATGACTAGAAAATGTTTTTTAGTGTATACAGTTTGAATGAATAAATAATGAAATTATTTAGTCTAATCTAATTGATTACTGAAACCATTAGATTTGAAAAAGATTACACTACTTTTTTGTGTGTGTGGAGAAATCGTAATCATCGATCTTACTATGGAGTAATAGAAAGAGAATTATCGGCTTCACACGACAACGTTTTAACACGGGAAAAACTATATCCCATACCCCATCATATATATCTTCCTACCCTTACATTATACATTATTTTTTTACTAGTATAAATTATTTATTTTTAAATTTTTTTCACTTTTTTCACTCTCGTTTCTCAAGTGCTCAAATGAGCTCCGATCCGGCTGAATTTTTTTTTTTATCTCAAAACTTTTCAAGCAACTCTTTCAATACATAAATTATAAATCGGAATTCAATCAATTAGTTTTTTGGTCTTTATAATGTAATCAAAATTCTTTGGACATCACTTTCAATTTTTGTGCTAAACACTGGAACTCATTTGTAATTGTTATCAAACAGTGTCGTTAATAACAGAATAAAGTTATTAGATAAAGATTGAGTTTCTTGAACAAATATAAGAAATTTTATTAGGTTGTACGAAAGAGAAAGAAGAAGCAAAAAGAAAAATAAGAATTGGTTAAAACTGTTATACTATTCACTTTCTCAATAAGGTTTCAAAGATTACAAATGAATGCCAACAATTATTCTCTCTTCTGAAAGAACCATTCTATTTAGAAGCTATTAAGCTAACTTAGGCTACAACCTAACTTAACAATTGACCTTACAAAGAAGGCCCAATTTGACATGATAACTTAAACACAAAGCTAACATATTTCAGCAGCATGCTTGAACAAACTTCGACTACATCATGCACAACTCCTTTTCGAAAAATGAAACTACCCTTATTGACAGTAGAGTTTGATTCAAATACCACAAATCTCCACCTTGGAACAAACTTTATACTAACAAGGGAACAAACAGGTTTTCATCATGCACCTTTATCAACTGCATATAGTGGAAAAATTTGCTACTTGGTGATCATATCAACAACATTGTCATTAGTCGAAACCTTCAGCGCTTGAACTTATCCACGCTCGATTATCTCTCTGACGAAGTGCAGCCTCACATCGATGTGTTTGGTTCGCTCATGATAGGTTGAATTCTTCAACAGGTGTATTGCATTTTGACTATCACATTTACCAGTGATAACTCGATCTTGAAATTTTATCTCCTTAGTAAAATCTTCGAGCCACAATGCTTATTTTACAACTTCAGTGAGGGCAATATACTCCGCTTCAGTGGGTTATAAGGAAACAACCTTCTGAAGTGTTGCTTTCCAACTAATTGTTGTGCCAAACATAGTGAACACATATCCAAAAATAGATTTTCTAAAATCCATTCAACCTGCATAGTCAGAGTCGACAAATCCTTCGATTTTGACTTTGCTATCATCACCATAGACTCCATCATAAATCAGGACTCTCCTTAGAGACTCATTGATGTACCTAAGAAATCACTTTAATGCATGTCAATGCGCCTTCCCAGGATTGACCATATACCTGTTTACAAGGCTCACTCTGTACATTATGTCTGGCCTCGTACAAACCATAACATACATAAAAAACTCATACTATATTAGCATATAAAATGTTATTCATATAGACTCTTTCGACTTCAATACTAAGACTTTGAGTCATACTTATTTTGTACTGAGGATTAGTCGGTGTTAGAATAGACTTTGAGTTCGACATACCAAACTTGTCGTGAATCTTCTTCAGGTTGCCTCATCAGGATTGTTTCATCTAGATCACCATATAGGAAGGTTGTCTTCACATCCATCTGTTCAAGTTCGTGGTTGAACTTCACCACCATAGCAAGCAACATTCGAATGGATCTATGCTTTACAATAGGTGAGAACACATCATTAAAATCGACACCTTTTTTTCCTGAGTGAACCCCCTAGCAACCAACCTTGCCTTAAATCGCTTCGACATCACTCCTTTAATTCCTTCCTTAACCTTGAAAATCCACTTACAGCTAGCTAATCTGGCTCTAGCAGGTTTCTTAATCATCTCCCAAGTGTTATATCATGAAGATATTTCATCTCATCATTCATGGATTTCAGTCCAGTCTCGACTCCTCATAACTTCCTTATAGTTTATAGGTTCTTCGTCCAGAACCTCACTTGTAGGGACTAAGACATAAGTTATGGTATCTTCATAACACAGACTCTGAGGTGGTTTGATGACTCTTCTCGACTTGTCTCTTACCAGCAGGTAGTCATTATCAATCTCCTCAACTTCGACAGCATCTTCTGCTTCTTCTTTGACTTCATCTGGGTCATACAATTCAACATTACAATGTTCCACCTCAATAGGAATCTCTTCCTGTTCTAGCTATTCTTTAGAGATCTTCGAACTTTGACCAATGTCATTAGTTTTCTTGAAATCCATCTTAGCTTCATCGAAAACTACATCTTAACTTGTGATACACATCACGCGACCTGGCTCTAAGAACCACAACCTATAAGCTTTGAATCCTTTAGGGTATTCAAGAAACATACATTTCAAAGCTCTAAGTTCGACCATGTCTTTCCTAATGTGAGCATAGGCTAACTAGCCAAATGTTCTAAGTCTGTCGAGATTAGGTAGATGTTTCGACCAGACTTCTTCAGGTGTTTTCATCCCCAAAGTTGTCAAGAGACACCTATTTTTTCAGGTATGCTACAGTCACATAAGCTTATGCCTAAACACCTTCTTTAATCCCGCACTTATTAACATGCACCTCACTCTTTCAGAATGGTTCGATTATACCTTTCAACCAAACCATTTTGTTGAGGATTACCTATAGTAGTTTTATGCTTTGCAATACCAGATGCAACACAAT